GAGCCAAGTCGTTTAAACTCTTGGCAGAGAATTACCAAGTCAGTACAAACAATCTGGAAACGATGGAGCCTTTCTTACCTGAATAGCTTACAGCAAAGAAAAAAATGGGTAAAAAATCAGAAAAATTTAAAAATCGGGGATATGGTTTTGATAAAAGAAGAAAACCTTCTCCCATGCAAATGGGTCTTGGGTCGGGTAGTAAAACTGTATCCTGGACAAGATAATCAAATAAGGGTAGTTGAAGTAAAAACTTGTAAGGGGGTATATAAAAGGTCAGTTTCCAGATTGAGTGTACTGCCGATAGAAAATTAAATAGTTGTATATTCATCTAAATATTTGTATATAAATTTATGTAACACTTGTATTTTATTAGAATTTCATGTAAAAAATGTATCTCAAAGATTCTGATTGAGTATTAGTTATGTTAAAGTTATAATACTCAATAATGTTAAAGTTTTGTAAAATTATATGTTAAATGTATAAGTGCAAAAAAAATTGTCAAGTTCTTGCATGTGAACAGTGCAAGGCTGGGCGGTGTGTTGGCGCATGCGCGCCATTCCCTAGCGGAACGAGATTAAATCATCACTTCTCCTATGAGACTCGATAAACATTAGATGTGGATAAATATCTCTTAAACCCTTTCGAAATCCACAATATCTCCAGCTGCTGTTGTTGTTTATACTTAATGTTGTTGTTATTAATAAAAAACAAAAAGTGCAGCTGGTGGTCCGTCGTTATTTACTAAATTATCAAGCGTGTTGGTTTTAGGCCGACAGGTGTATTTATCATATTTAGAGTTAATGTTGTCTTACACATATTGAAAATATTAATGTGTCCGTAAACTTCAGCTTAAAGAACACGAAAGATGAGCACACATATCTTAAAAAATATTCTTCGTTTTCTGCTAGAATTGTATTTCTGATTTTCTGTCTCAATTTACTCTTTTCAAAACTATTTTTAATATGCTATATATTATTAATTTCGCATTTGCTCTCATTATATTTCTTTACATTTAAAGTTTTTTTAAAAAAAAAAAACAATTCTTGGAATTAAATTCAGAAAAAAAATATTAAGAATATGAAAAGTTAAGATAATTTGTTCAAGAGCAATTCAAAAAATATAACACAAAAAAAAAAACTTTATTAAGATCAAATCCATCATTAATAGCTATAAATTTAAACATTCCAGAACGTCATCTGTGACAGATTCAATAATGTTGGCAGTGTCCTGTTATGGTTCCCTTTCCGCAAAGAATTCTACTTCATCTGCTGAGTCTAACCAAAAATAGCCCACCCCATCCAACAAGTTCAAAATTCCATTTTTTAAAAAGATTTTACAATAGTATTTTAAACTGTATTTTAAAAGGAGGCGCCTCATAGCACATTCATTTCTGGGCAAATGAATCATATCAAGAAAGAACAATGTGAAATATTTTTAACATAAAAAAAAAAATTAGCAGATGAGAAATAAGAGGTAGACTTATATACCAAAATATATGGTAGTTCAAGAAAATAAGCCTTACTTGTCTTTTAAAAAAGTGGCATTCTTCAGGTGTCATTGTGTCTGCTTTGGCAACAAGAGGAATGATATTCACTCGATCGTGCAGTCTTTTCATAAATTCTATATCTAAAGGCTTTAAACTATAAAAACAAATAACAATTAGCAAAATATGTAAACTAATGATTTCACATTCAAAAATTAATAAATGAAATAGCTATATTTCATACATAGCAAAATTATGAATGTATTACACAAAAAATAGTAGGCTATTTAAAAGTAATGAAAGAAAATGTGGTTTTAAAACTACCATTATCCAATGTTCTAACAATATCAAAAATGATGATGACTGCTTATGATAGCATGCTCTAAGCAATCATCAATGATACTATAAGCTCTTTGAAATTTAAATCACATTTCTTTCAATCTGTCTTTCATTAGTCTTTTAAAATAGATATGTTAAAAAAAATAGATTAAATTAGACTAAATATTCACTATTTGTAAATAAAAAAGTGCATCCAGAAATGTGAATTAACTTACCCATGACCAGAAGGAGCTATGAAATACAAGCAGCAGTGCACTCTACCATCAGGAATTGTTGTTCGATGGACTCTGGATTCAGCATTTAAATATTCTTCATATTTATTGTCAATGTAGTCAGATATTGGTGACCAACTAATAAAATAAAATAAACAAATGTTATTTATATAACTTAATTTAAATGTTATTACATGATTTAAAAATCATTTATTAAGAAAATATAAACAGCTTTGAAATTTTTCAAAATGTCATCAAAATTATCTATGTAAGTCTTAAAATATAAAGAACAAACTAAAAAATTAAAAAATGAATGTATTTAAGACCATAAGAAATAGTTTTACATAAAACAAAAGAAAAATATTTACTGTATCTCTTTTTAAAATCTACATTTAGATATAAAATTTCTTCTTTATTGTAAAAATAAAAAAGTAGTTTTTTAAAAATTTCTTAGGGAACAAACATATCCTTCGGCCGGGCAAGGTCGACTCAGCCTTTCATCCCTTCAGTGGGTAGATAAATGAGTAACAAGCATGCTTGGGAACTAAACACAGGGGGTTCCGCGTTCGGCTGACCACCAACTGGGAACACCTGCTCCTGCACTCCAGAGCCCAAGGTCAAGAAAACTGAGATGGGCACAGCAGGCCTTGGCCCTCTATGGACTGTTGCACCACTGAGTTTAGTTTAGGGAACAAACATTATATTTTTAAGTATAAACAAAAAAAAGTAAGATTACATCAGTTTAATAAGGAAACTACTTATTAGTTGACTTAAATTTTTATTTCAAATAATTTGAACACACAAACGCAGAGCAAGTCTATTTTTATAATAAAATGAGAAATAAAATTTTAAGTCATGACATAAATTAAAATTCTTACTAAAAATTCAAAATAATATTTATAAAAGTTGGGTAACTTAGGTGATAGCAGAAGAGAACAATGTTATAGCTAGCGAANCGAAAAAAAAAAAAAAAAACAATGACAATTTTTTTTTTAAAGTTATAAATATAAACTGGTTTCTAAAAACAAAGCTAAAAAGATTTTAAATTGCCAAGTCCAAATTATGGATAAAAAGGAGCTAAAAATTAACTCTGTCAAATTGGCTGAAAATTTAATATGTTGTAGTTCAAAACATTTTGATCAAGAGCTCTCATTGACACATAGTCCAAAAATTCATAGTTTCTGAGAAGTAAAATCTGGAACATAAATAGTAATTCTTAATTTTCTAATACCATACTGACATTATCATTAACCAACATTCACCGCATGGAGATTGTCACATCAGATTTTGCACGTTACAGCCCTTAAAAGGATTGATTGTTTAAACAAAACAAAAAAATACTTGGATGTATACAAATATATATAGCTACACATAAACAGAACTAGTTACCAGTTATTTGAATCTTATTTACATTTTGTTGGGAAGATCGATTCACTGCTTCATAGATACATTCTATGAACTTTGTAGATGGGTACTTGATGTTACTCCCATACCATGCATATCTCAAAAACTATGTAACACTAATAATGTGTACGCAACTACATAATGTTGGAGTGGAATATTACTCTTCTAAATATGAATTAACTAACCATTGAATTAACAGAATTTATTTTGGGGCATTTGTTGGCAACAGGTATATTTTCCTTCACAGATAACATGAGTGACGTTCTGTGCACATTCAATTATTGAACTTATAAGAAAGGAATGTATTTTTAACAGTAGTAAGTCACATCACGTTACTAAGTTATTGAATCCTAGTGATTAACGATGTCACATTTCTATGTTTAACCTGTCATAGTTAATTATTTATTAGTTGTTTGCTACATTGAGATGGCACTGTATTTAATAAAAAATGTTTCAATCATCACATTTTATCATGCCCATCCATATTCACTCAACATCCATTGGGCATGCTCTAACAACATGAAAAGAGTGGTCATGGGCCATGAGCTCGCAAACTTCGGTCTATAACATTTGACATTAAGTCAAATTGCAAGTGAAAAGTGGTGTTAAATGTTCAATTTTTTGAACTGTCTGAGAGACGAAGTATTTTTTGCCTTTCTAAAGCTCGGAGAGTTCAATTACAACACAATCTGGATAATTGACATGAAAGTTTTGCTATGGAAAAAGAAGGATGGGACTTAGTAAAGAAAAACCATTTGACAACATAGCACATGAGAAAGAAATCTTCTGGGAAAATAGCAACCCTTCACAGCAATCTACTTAGGAAATGTATGAAAATATCAAGTTGCCCAGACTGTTTGAACTATAACAGGGCTGTCCAACTGGCGGCCCGCCAACCTCTTATTCAGGCAGATCGGCCTCAGTTTTCCTATTAAAATGCAAGCAAATTGTTTTATAATTCTTCTGTTCCTTTTTTTTATAATTAATAATTCAACTATTAATTGTTACTGTATAAGAGGTAAGAGGGTATTGTTCAACTTTTTCAAACTGCGGCCCACCAGGTGATCAGTGACCGGAATTCTGGCCCGTGGATTCTTTGCAGTTGGACAGCCCTGAATTATAACACATTAAAATTCAGCTCATTTGATGGCAAATCAATTTCTAGAAGATTTGTGTGGTGTCCTTTAATAAAGAAAAATCATACTCAAACTAACTAAAACATAAAACTAAAATTTGAAAAAAAATAAATTACCATTGAGAATTATCCACCGCATCACCAAAACCTGGTGTATCTACTACTGTTAGTAATAAATTAACTCCACTTTCTTTGAGCAGTACTTTGGATGTTTCAACCTACAAAAAATCCAAAATTTATTTTCTAAGCACAAGTAAGATTGTTGCTTATGCAATGTAAAAGATTATATAAGCATGTAGAATAAAGGATTAACTATTCAGAGTTAAAATTGTATATATATGTGATTAAAACAAGTAATAAAACTATAATTTTCATAGAAAGCTTTTTTTTTCCTTAATAAGAATTTACTTATACTTTACTTATACTTACAAAAAAAACAGCAAAATTGGGGGCATGCAATAAGCAAAACAAATTAAGAGCAGATGCATAAGCTTAACAAGCAAAAAATCAATCATATTTAAAAGTCTAGCAACACTATTATGTTTAAAAAAATATTTGATTCAACTATAAAGTAAAAAAATAATGTGAGTTCAACAATAACACAAAATTAGAAACAAATAAGATACATATTTATTGAGAGCAAATTTTAATTTAAAAATGTGATTAGGGCAAAAAAATAAAATCCTTTCTGCATTAAAATTTCTTTTTCTGTTTCCTCATTTAAGCCAAGTTGACATAAAATTTCAAGGAAAAAACAATAAAGACAAAATAACCAAAATAGCCAAATAACCACGATTGCCAGGACAAAAAGAATTTTTATGGTTAAATGTTTTTAAACATGTATTTGAAACTTGTAAGTAATTAAATGAGCTTCAATTTTCTTCGCAATAATTTATTTGATAAATGCAAAAAATTAAACAGCATTAACAGCTGTATACCTGAAATGCACTAAAATGAGAAATTAGAATGAAATGCATACTTAAGAGTAAATGGCATAAAAATAAAATTTTTAAGAAGTTATGATGCATTTTTAGAACTTTAGTAAAAAAAGTTTCCATCATTAATAGGTTCCCTAAATTTGTGCTGCAGCACCTTAGAATGTTACAAAAAAATGATGGATCTAAATATGCCAAAATTTAAAATAGCCTCCTTTTTAAAAATGAGCTTATTTGATCTAAATGCATAATTTTCATTAATTAATCTTATATTTATTTTAACAGACAAGTTATATGGCTAGACAAATTATGGCATCTCTTTGAAGCAGAATATTTCCAGACCATTTAAAATCAATTTCGTCTGAAAACAGCCCAAGAAAAAAGTTTCTATCATTCTTACTTGCAAAGTTTTCTTTACACGAAGAGAAGGGCCTGGGTATTCGTTTGAATATATTTCAGTAAGGAACATAGAATTAATTAATGTTGACTTTCCAAGACCAGCTTCACCTAAAATCAAAATATGAATTAGATTAAGAAATTAATGAAACTCAGTACAAATTTGTAACAGCTCTAAATTCACTGTCAAGAGTTGAAAAATCATCAAATATTTATTGAAAAAAAGAAAATGCATTGAAACTAAATTGGGATAGTTAAACATGAGGCTTAAATTAGAATAAAGTTGCTTAAAAATGGATAAAGTAAACAAAATGAAAAAATTTTCGCAAACAATTTTAATATTTTTCAGAAATTTAATGTATGAATTGCTGCAATAAGTAAGCCTTTCAGACCTGCAAACAATTTTCCAGAAAAATGAAAAAATACTTTTAAGAAACTTTGAATCTTTTTAATATCAATGAAAAAAGTCTGGAAAAAAATATTAATAAAAAATATGCTGAAAAAACCAGTAAATAGTTCTCTTTTTTTTAGCATTACTAAAAACTAGTTAACAAGAGTAAAGCTTTTTCTGCATAAAATTATTTATATAAGGATTTCTAGAACAAGGATTTGGATATTTAGCCATGTTACACATATTATCATTAAGGAGGTGCCATATTGCAGGAAAAAACCATCTTGGCAAATTATTTTATGTAAAAAGTAATTCAAAGTTTAAATGATAGAAAAATAGAGTTCAGGTAAACCTAGAATAAAACACGAAGTTTTAAATACTGAAAGAAGTTTTTTCAAAACATCAATATGTAAAAAAATTATGGCAGAATTATGCAATGTGGAAGTCATCCAGTTGTACTTTGTTTGTATTTTGATAACTTTAAAATATTTCTTCCGCATTTGAAATTTAATCGTTCACTCTGGGTTAAACGGAACTCACTTTTCTCTACTCTTTTAATTTTAAAATACCAATGGAGCAAAACAGAATTCCCCATGAAAAGTTACTTACAACGTATAGCATCATCTTAAGTGAGAAAAATGGTGTAGTAACAAATCATTATCTAAAATTCAATCACAAAAGCACTTTTGAAAAGCATAATATAGCACAACTACATTTAAATCTAAGCAATACTCTTCCTTACCAACAACCATGAGCGTGAATTCAAAGCCTCTCTTCACAGCCTTTCTGTAGACTTGATTTGGGAGGTTTGCAAAGCCTACATAACCATCCATATCTTTGGGAAGAGTATCCTTCATTCTGTCACTGTCTCTGCTAGACAAAGACTCTTTGGAAGAGGAATTGGAATTGACGCTTAATGGGGGAGGTACAGTTGAATTTGTTAACGTAGGATTAGTAGTTGTAGCATCATGCCGATAGAATAAATCCCTTTTCGCATTTAACTGAAAGAAAAATAAACAGGATTTCATTAGAACAAGGAAAGAAACACACAAGCACAAAAAATACAACAATATAAGACTTAAATATAATTCGAGATGGTCTTGAATGTTAAAAGAAACACATCAATAAATGGGTTCAAATATTTTTCCAGAACAGTCAGATATTTCAAATAAATTAGTGGAAAACCACATTTATGGCCTAAAGCAGTGTTTCCCAAAGTGTGGCACGCGTACCCCCAGGGATACGGGAGGAAGAGTCTAGTGGGGGTACGTGCTCTTATGCGAAATATCTTGCAACAAACGAAAATTTCAAAAAATTTTATTTAAAAACAAAGCTAGTCATAAAATTTACTAATTACGTACTTTTCTATTGGCTATTTTTAGCAGAGGTAACAGTTAATAATTAGTGGTGTCAACAGCCAGTTGTGATTTTTAACTTTTGTGCAATTTTTTTAGAGTAAATAAAGCATTCATTTTTTTATTAGTCGTACACAGCGGTACGAAAAATTTAGAAAGGGTACACAAAAGTCATAAGTTTGGGAAATTCTGGCTTAAAGTGAAGCTTTAAAACAAGTACATATATATTATAATTAATTTTTAAAAATTAAAATGTTTGGGCTCCTTTTGGAACTTGTTAAACAGTTTCATAAAAAATTTAAAATATTAAAATATACCTGAGCATATAAAAGGAGCTAGTATATAAAAACAGGCAAAATCATATAAAAATGCTGCAAGTGTGTAATAAAAAAATAAACTAAATACTAATAAAAAATAAAAGTGAAAATGACAACCAAGTTACAACTTTTTAGCTTTAAAAATGTATATTATTATGAAATCTTGAAATTTTCTAGCTCAATAAAATAAATTAATAAAAAATAAATTGCAAAATTGATTGCGAAAATATTGATTAAATCTATAAATTCCACATTTTAAAAAAATCATTAACTTTAAGTCAGAACAGACAAAACAATTGAGAATTAATATATTTATTATCTCCACTGAATTGAAGATATGCAACATAATCATATATCAATACATAAAAATGCAAAACCTAAGATATATTTAGTTTTCTGTTTGAATGTAAGATTTGCAATATAATTATCTGACAATAAATTAAAGCAAAACGGAAGTTATATTTCCTTTTGTTCCTGAATGGTGAACTTGCTATAAGATAATAAAAATGTTGCAGTTTAAATAAAAGAATTAGTAAACAAATAAATTGAAAGCATCAGCGTAAGGTCAAATGGACCTAAGGATGTGATTTTTACAAAAGAAAAACAGAGCATACATCTCAAANAAAAAAAAAAAAAAAAAAAAAAAAAAAAAAAAAAAAAAAAAACTTTATCGCTATTACTTAGGAAACAATACAAACAAAGCTTAAGATGTATTTATAGTTTAAGAAACAATTTAATCTCTGTTTTTGAATGACAGATAAACAAAAACAATTTCTTCACAATTTCAGTTAAAAGCTTATTTATAAACAAATAATTTCAAAATTCAACACAATGATTTATTCAAAATTAATGTTAAGTCTGAGCAATCAAACAAAAACGCACAAACTGCAGAAGAAATAAACACAAAAAAGTTAAATAAATAGAGAGCATTAAATTCACTTAAAACAAATTATTAACTCAATGAACTTAGATGCACTGCTTTATTATACGTAAGGCAAACTTCAATGTTTATAATTATCCTCTCCCAGCCATCAACACTAGAATAAAACAAGAAAAACTCAAGGCAGTCTTCAGATTTCATAAACAACGGAAGTTGAAATGTAAATAACTAAAAAACAGTTTTAACATCATGGAAATTCTTGGTTCTTTTTAATGACAAGGCTTATCAATTGTTTGAACCAATTATATGATGGCATAAAGCAAATCAAAACTAAAAATGATTATGTTCAAAAATAGTTTATTTGCGACTTAAATATTTTAATCAAAATAACGTATCTTATAATTATTAGCACCAACGGTGGCAGCAGCAAGATAAACGGTTCAAAATTCGTCAACAATCAAATTTAAAATCGACAAATTATTGATAAAATCTTAACTTTCAAAGAAATAACTATAAAGCTTAATTTAAAAATAAATATTAAGAAAACAAATTTTGAAAATCCTACTTAAAAGAAAAACATTTTCTGGAAACATTACTTTTATTTCTGTTAAAAAATCGTTTTCTCCTAAAACGCAAACGATGCTTACATTACAAAAATGCTTTAAAGAATTTTGTAGGTTTAAAATCTTATTAACATTGAGATTAACTTATCAATGGTAAATGAATGATAAAGAAGTGAGTCATCTGTTGCTTCCGGAACATGCTTATGCGACAAGCAAAACTTCTTGCATTTCTTCTTAATTAATTTTTAAAGGTTTTTACTTTAATTAAAACGACTTGTAACTTAGATGAATTTCTAGATATAATAAAAGTCTCTCATAAATTAGGCAATAAAAAAATATTTTATACATTCATATTTTATTCTACATTTTCTGGTGAATCACATTTTAAAAAGATTCCCAGGAAAAATGATTTTAACAACCTCAAATCCACTTAGGATAAAACTAGTTCTAAATACACTTCATAACTCTTCTAACTCAACCAGATAATTGCGTATTTTTACCCTCAGGCTTTAAAAAAAAAAAACACCTTCCAATTTATTTAATTAATCTTTTAAATAAAAAGTCTACTTCAAGAATATATAATCATATTTCGATTCGTAATTTAGAGAGGAAAAATTTTAAAAAAACATTTCTGAACTAGAAAAATACAGAGTTGGTAATAAATAAGTTTTTTTAGAAGTTTAAGTTTTTTTTCAGAAAATAATAGAGAGCAAGATTTTTAAACCGGTTTTGTAGAGAATTCTTATGTTTTTTTAATAAGTTTTTTTTTTAAACCAATTCGTAGTACAAGGCAAAATTTTCCCGATTTATATTACCTGATTCAGATTAATTAAATTTTGAAATTTAAATTACCAGAATTTCACAAAATCCACGAGACTTAGCAAAACCTAAAAGCTAAATTTTTATACAGATTTTTGTTACAAAACAAATTTCTTAAAATAACTGAAATTTTTAAAATTTTAAGGATCTATATGCTCTACTATAGCTGATATGATTTTCAGAAGGCTCGTTGTCGATAAACATAGCCAATTTATGCATTAAGAATAAAAAATACTTTTTTTTTAAAAAAAAAAATACAACTTAGGTTTCCTTTTAATTAAATAAGAACTCACTTTGCCATCGATAATTAGACAGTAAATTACATTTGAAAACAAAATTGATGATTTGGACAAAATTTGACAAACCAAATCTACAAGAGTCAGGAAAAATGATTATATAAAAAAAATTATTTGACCTACCGTTTTGAGACAAAGCATGTCTAGAAAAGTTTTTCACACAAATGATACAACAAATTTAAAATCTAGAGACACTATTCTAAAATGAATACAATTTTTAAAAAAAATAAATTTGTAAAGCTACAGTTGTGATGTTACATTAAATATTACGGTCACACGAAGGTTTATTTCAAGGCCAACGATACGCCATCATGCACAAAAACGACACAAATAGTAACAATCTAGAACAATTTTCAAGAAAATGTTAAGAAGAAATCACGCAAAAATAAAATGTTCATGCTTACAGTGCAAATTACTCTCACGTGAGACATCGATCCATGCAGCTATTTCCGGCTTTGAAATTGGTCACAAACAGTACCAATTTTATACCAAAAATAGAGAATTAATGATCACTAGGTATATTGAGTGTTTAATAAAATTAATGATTGGAGATCAGATGTAGATTACACTTTTTTTTTTAATAATTTAACTTGGCGAGAAATTTTATTGAGGTTTCTAAAAATCTTTTTTAAAAAATCCAGCTACTAAGAAACATTATTTAAGATATGATAATTAATTTGAATTATGAAAAATAATTTGAATTATGAAAAATAATTTAAATTTGAATTATGAAAAATAATTTATTTCGAACACTCACTATTTTAAAAAATTCAACTTTCTCTTTCTAGAAATTTGAGTTGTGAAAATTCGAATTCTTCATAATTTTACGAGTTGTTTAGACGGAATATATTTTGCAAGCAGTTAACGAAATTTAACGACAACTACGTATATTGGCTTTAATGTAACATAGATTGACTGTATTAGTTGTTGCAATTCACGTAACATTGAATGAAAAAAATAAATATTGTAGAAAAAACATGTTAAAAGCAAAATAAAACGTGTCTCGTTTTTAATAAAACAATCTCTAGCTGCAATTACCACATCACTATGTAAACGTAAAAAACAAATAGAAAAGTTCAATAAAAATCGAAAAAATATATCTATAATATGCTTAAGACTTAGTGACAGCCTGCCCCTTTTCCGAAAGTGACATCTTTACATCAAAATGTTCTTTATAATTGTTTTCAGATAGCCACTTAAGTTTCCGTAATATCCTCTAAACATCAGTATATAAAGCAGAAATGGTTTATTTTCTACTTGCGAATTTCTGAATTTTTCACCAAAAATTCACTCCTAAACAATTTGAAAATGTGGCTTATTATAACCCAAGATCTTCATACATAAACAAAAGTATTCAAAACAAAATTTATGAGTAAGATTTCGTAAACAATTTCTACACATTCATCATTATTCTGGATATCATGCGCAATGTTATAAGAATACGACGATATAAAGCTAACAAAAACAATTTTTTAAAAAAACAAAACACATACATTTTCCGGCGATCATAATCATAGTCATAAGTCGCAGTACTATCATTAATAAATTCTCGTATTCTAGCGATAAAATTTCAAAGAACTGTTGAGGTCTTCGTATGATGAATAATTTATTACTCACAAGGCACGAGACCTTGGGAACAACCAACTAGACACGCACTTTTTTTTTTCACTGTATCTTGTTCAATAATACACAATTTCATTAAACATAATTAAATTGCTTAGTTCGTATTGATGCAAAAACAGTGAAATTCCTCAGCTCTTCTTTTTAATCA